CATATTACCCTTGATGTCCTGATTGTTATCAAAATGTCTTCCTATCAATATTTCCTTTATGTTTGGGTAAAGAAAGAAGTTATTGAGGGACAGATCAGTGAGCCGGGAGGGCATTCTAATACAGTTATTTGTTTACTCCCTCACAGACTGAATCATGCTGGTGCATTGTCATGATGCAAGAGCCATGAATTGTTTTCAAAAGTTCAGGTCATCTAACTTTTTTTTTTTTTAAGATTTTTACTGGGGAATTGGGGGAAGGGGAACAGACAAATTGTTGTCCTTTTGTTCTTCAGTCTAGTTGTGGAGGACGTTGCTTCACTGGCCCAAGTTGGCACCATCATTGCGCTCTTCCCGGGCGAGGCAGATCAGTCACCGGCTTCTGGACAGCTGCTCACTGCGGCTGCTAGCCGCTGACGCTGGCTGCTGGCTACACACAGTAGCCCATGGCAACCCACTGCCACAGGGGCTGCAGCCTACGCCGTGGCCAGCGACTCATGGCAGCCCAGCTCCAGGTTGAGCTGTTGTTCAGCATCTTAGCTGTGGAGGACAGTGTCACTGGCCCTCATATGTGGGATCCGAACCGGGGCCCTCTGGCGTCCCAAGCCAGTTCTTAACCATCGCGCCACTCGGCCGGCCCAGGTCATCTAACTTTTTCACGCAGCCTTTTTAGGACTTCCAAATAGTAAACTTGATTAATGGTTTGTCTAGTTGGTACAAATTCATAATAATCCCTCTGATATCAAAGAAAATTAGCAATATTATTGCAACAATTTTGAAAACTTAATTATCAGACCCTTCATTTATATGAAGGAAATTTATTATGGGGAATTGGCTCATGTGATTATGGAGGTTGAATAGTTCAAGGCCTTATCGTGTGCAAGACTGGAGACTCAGGAAAGCTGGTGGTGTAATGTATTCCAAGATTAAAAGCTTGAGAACTTGGGTAGTAAATATATAAGTCCTAGTCCAAAGGCAAGAGAGAGCCTACATCCCAGCTCAAGAGGGCAGGCAGGGAGCACAAAGAAAACATTCTTTCTTCTGCCCCTGTTCTACTCAGGCCCTCAAGAGATTGGATGATGCCCCAAAACACTAGCCATCATCTGTCTTACTGTACCCACAGTTCAAATGCTATAGTCACCTGGAAACAATAGCCTCACAGACACACCCAGAAATAAGGTTTAACCTAAGCAACTTGTGGCCAGTCCAGTAAACAGATTCATAAAATTAACCATCACAATTACTTTTCTGTTTCATTGTTATGTTAGGACTATAGAGATTATATATTAATTAAATAGCATTAGATGACATTGCCCAAAATGACACTTCATGGATTTTCATCTTTGTAGCCTATTTAGGAAAAGTGTCATTTCGGCCATGAGTACAGGTTCTGAGAGTCAGCATCAAGGTGTTACCACTCTGTGATAGCTCCTTTGATCACTACCTGAGGTAATTTCAGATTTGGGTAGCCATCCCCTCTCACGTGTCCTAACTTAGCCTAGCTGGTGGATACAGGGCAGAAGACATCTGCCAGTGAGCTGCCTCAGGTGAGCCTTCTGTGTGGGTCCCCACTGTGGTATTATTCCCTCCTCAAGCCATCTCATTTCAAGGCAACAAGACCAAGTGGATGTGTGTGAAATTAAAGGAAGCCTAGTTCTCCAAAGGGTGTGTACATTGAAGAGCCCTGAGAACAGCTTCCAAGAGCAGAACTGAGACAGGATTAAGAATGGAGTCCCTGGCCAGCTGTCCCAGAGTAAAAAGCCTTGAAATTTCCCAGGGCCCCTGTGTGAAGGCCTCCCATTGGTCAACAGTTTTTTTACTTTCTTGCCCCTCCCTCCAGGAATTTAACTTTCATTTTCCCCCTGCTGCTCTGTGGCTCCTCTGTGAAAATCAGTCAGGGGCCTAGCTGGGGGCGTGAATTCTGACTGAGTTTGCGCCTCAGGCTGGAGCTGCAGAACAAGTTTATGGGGCTTGTCCCTTGGCCGATTGGAGGTGAGTTTCCCTCTGCTTCCTGTGCAGTGCCTGGGGTGTGGTAGCCTGCCAAGACTGTGTCTTCCGTTGTTTGACCGCGTGGGCCTGGAAGTGTACCACCCCCCACCGCAGCCACCAGGGCCAGGGCTAAGGGCGTTCTCTGTGAGGGCTGCCCAGGCCCAAGGGCTGTGGCGGGTCCCTGGAGGCAGGAGCGGTTCCTGTAGAGCCGCTATGGTGGCGCAGCGGTGCTGGCGAGGGGCGGAGAAGGGCGGGGGCTAAGCACTTCCCAGTCAGCTCTGGAGGCCCAGCTGCTGCTGGGGAATAGGGCGCCCTCAGCGGCGCTGGCAGGTTAGAGGAGATGCAACAATGGAGCCAGGCAGCCCTGCGCAGGTAAGGCAGGGGATGAAACAACCAGGGAGCCCCTCGCCCCCCCACGTCTGTTTCCAGAGCCAGTCCAACAGGCTTCCACTGCTGCAGGGGATGGGTCTCCTGCATAAGAGGTCTAGACACTGCTCAAGCTTCTGCTTTTGCGCTGGGTTCTTCAAGTCCTTTAAGTCCTGTGTATGAGCCCTTTAAGAGAGGAACCTCCATTTCCTATAACCCTAAGCTTCTGGGCACTGCTTAGGTAGGGGTGGGGTCATCCTCCCCGTGTGACTCAGGTTCTCTGCACTTCCCTAAGTCCTGTGAGTGCAGCTGCTTTCACCTTAGCTGTTAATGGCTCCACTGTGAAAATAATTCCACAGCCCCAAGGCGGGCTGCATGCTGTGCTCCAGCCTCGTCTATAGTCTCCTGATGCATCTCAGCATTAGTTGGATCCTAAATGGGAAAAGAAATAATTGGAGGACCCAGACCCATGTTTGGATTACAGCTTGAGTCATAAACAGGGGTAGACGCCATTTAGTATCTACCCCTGATATAATGTCTACCTCTGATCTTGCTGTCATCAGAGTCTGATCTGGGCCACAGTCTCTGCAGCCAGGAGCTACCTGAATATGTCCTCTGGGCTATTTTCAGTATCTGGACCATTAGCTGGATTATACTTCTAGTTCTCCTTCTTCCTCATTCCTTATCAGTTTCCCTTCATGTGTGATGAACATGGCACCAGTGGACATTGTTAATAGGTCTAAATTAATCTCCATGCACAGCATGTATAGCTTTCCCCACCCTCACAGAGCAAAGGGAAAACTTATTGTCTTCTACTGGAGATCTTTCTTTTACCATCAAACTTTGGCAACCATCAAGACATTAATATCTACTGAGGTCTTCCTTTTCTGTGTTTGCTTCATAGTCATATTTACCTAGTGCAGGGGTCAGCAAACATTTGAGATGAAGAACCAATCCTGTCCCTCAAAGTTTTGCGAGACCTATAAAATAAATGAAATCACCATTATGTGAATAATACTTTTTACAAATTTTATAAGTGAAACTATAACAGTTTTATTTTCATTTTCAATTTTACTTCAGAGCCACATGTATGTACCCAAAGAGCCAAATGTGACTTGCGAGCTGCAGTTTGCCGACCCCTGACCTAGTGTTCCTGATAGAAGCCCTGAGCCTAGATTATGGCCACAGGGCCATATGTTGTCCAGGTGGGAGAATGAGCATCACTGTGCTACCACTCTGTGATATCCCCTCTGACTGACAGCAGCATCATTTCCCATTTGGATGGCCATTCCCATCCATGACACCTGATCAGACATAAACTGCCAGGGTCTCTTAGTTTAGCTAAAGATACAGGACAATATGTCATCATGGCAGCCTCAGGTGAGCTGTCAGTGATGGTCTTCACAGTGTGATATGAAATATTTTATCCTTGATATCTCAGCCTTTTAAGAAACCAGACTAAGTGGATGTTGTGAAACTGTCATACCTTATGGAAGCCTAGAGCTACAAAGGACTGATTGCCTTGTGAAAGCCCATAAGTACAACTTCCAGGGGCTTAAAAGAGACACAGTTGGTTATAAGAGTCACAACTCCTTTGTGAAAAATGAGGCGTCTGCTTACTAACTGGTATTTAAGGTCTATATAAGCCTTCCTAGTGCACATGCACTTTACACGAGGCCATTTTTGCTGTCAGTAATGCAGCCTTGCAAGGCAGCTGACCTTCTACTTTATTGTAAGTTTCCCAGAAAACAAAAACAAAACACCAACTTACTAGGAGAAGAGTAAGCCAATATTACATTTACAGGAAGAGAGAAACCAGGTCTGATATTCACCCTTTGTTCCTAAGTATCAAATAGAACTATGAATCTTTTGTCTTTACCTCCTCTTATATCTGACTGTCATCCTCTGCTTCTCATGACCTCATCTGAAGCGCTCATCATCTCTCCCCTGGGCAACTGTGCATGCGCCCTACTGATCTTCCAATTCCACACTGGATCCGCCTCACAACATTCCACAGCCCAAGGGCAGAGCTAAGTGTGTCCTCTCCTCTTACCTGAGGGGAAACCATGAATAATTTGGGAAACAGTCCCCAAATGTTACATAATTTGGGAAGGACCATACATCATGGGCACTGCACGCTCATGTGATACTAAAGCCAAGCAGTTTTCTGCACACCAGAAACACTGGCATTTTCACACTCAGAGAAGGTGATATGTCTTCCATGAACTGGACATTTCCTTTACCTAATATATTTTTTCCTCTCCCTTATGCCATATTCCCTTCATCTTTTTCAACTTTCAGTTCAATCCTTATGTTTTTAAATGGATTTATTGGACAACCCTTTATCTGCCCACCTCCCCCAAATGATTGGATTTCTAAACAACATATACGTCTCTCTAGCAGTGTTTTTTACATCTGTCCTTTCATATACATATGGCTGGTTATTTAATTTACTATTACTTTCCAGGTGAATGTCAGGGTCATAGTGGTTTAGAGCCTGTTTAGACTCACTTTGTGTTTATGGGTATTAGTTCACTTGCTAGCATGTAATTCATTGTCATTAAGAACTTATGCAATATTCTTCCTTAATATTTTGAGACTTCTTTCCCAAGACTGATATTCATTTCATCTGTGTTCCGATTTTTCAGATATTGACTTGTTGGTCCTGTGAGTATATTTATACTGCCTCCCTCCTCACATCCACAGACATACATACATACCTTCAAGCTCCTACGCACATCCTTGTGTATCTCCAGGCCAAGGTGAATTTCAGCATCTATAAACACAAGAATCCCCAGAGCCTCCTAGCTGGCCTGGAGCTCCCACTCTCACACCCCTCGTTGCTCTGGATGTTAATAGGATCCATGAAGTTTTATAGTCCTGTTTGCTGTTAAGTCAGTGGGGTAGACCTGTGAAGATGGATTCTGAGTAGAATGCATTAGGTTCATCCCAACTCTGTGTATTGAAGATAAGTGAACTTTGTAAATCACTCACTATTTCTGTGTTCACATCTGATAGTTGCTTTTAACATGTACAGAAACACATTGTCATACATTATATCATGCTAATAATCATTTCAAACATGCATCAAGGAATGGCATTGGTTACACTGTAAATAAGCAAGTTAGAACAGGACTTTCTGGTAAAAGAACATGTAAGGAGGGAATTTCCTAAGTATAATAAGAGTGAATCCTATGGAGACCAGAGGAAGCATTATATGCTGAGAGAAGAGCAGGTATAAAAGCCCAGAGGCACACATAGGTGCTTTGGTGCTTTTACATTGAAGGTGTGTTTTCGGCATGGGAAAAAAAAAAGCAGGAGCAATGGTTGGTGACACAAGGATCTTGGTAGAAAAGACCTCAGATCATCCTTTTGTTCAGTAAAAGTAAAGGGAAATAACCATTGCACAGATAAAAATGAAATTTGTCATTTCATATGAGCCAGAAGTAAAGTTTAAAATTTTTGTGAAAAGTCCTTTTAAGTACGTCATTAACATCCTTTCCTTTTCTTCTACCTTTCGTTTCTGTCCCTCAGTATTTGGCCTTGGCCCGTCCTTCATTTCTACACAGTTAGTATCATTTTATTCCTTCCTTTCTTACTCTGCCCGCTTTTAACCTTTCCAATCAGGCAGGAATCTGTGAGCAAGAGGAGCCTCAGAAGTCGGGACAGGTAGGAGCAGGGGCGCAGCTGCGATGGCTTCAGGAGTCCTGCTGAACATACTGGAGGAACTGACCTGCCCCATCTGCCTGGAGCTCCTCACAAAACCCTTGAGCCTGGACTGTGGCCACAGCTTCTGCCAAGCTTGCATCACTGCAAACAAGGAGTCTGTGAACAGCCAAGAAGGAGAGAGCAGCTGTCCAGTGTGCCGAGCCACCTACCAGCCTGGAGATCTGCGGTCTAATTGGTTTGTGGACAACATAGTGGAAAGACTCAGGGAGGTCAAGGTGAGCCCAGAGGAGGAGCAGAAGATAGATCTCTGTGTGCGCCATGGAGAGAAACTCCAGCTCTTCTGTAAGGAGGATGGGAAGGTCATTTGCTGGCTTTGCGAGCGGTCTCAGGAGCACCGTGGTCACCACACATCCCTCGTAGAGGAGGTAGCCCAGGAGTACCAGGTAAGAGAACTGCATGGAGGAAAGACAGTGCAGGCTGGGAAATCTCCACTTTATATTGGACTCTAATTACCTTGTCACCATAGACCTGAGTGCTGTGATCACTTTTCTTCCTATGCTCACCTTTTGAGGCCTGGGGACCATTTCTCTGCATTCCACCCAATCACGAAAGGAGAAGCCACAGTATAGACTCTTAACCAGAAGTAGATATTTTTGTACCTTGTGCTAATAAGTGGAGGTTTTGTGCCCAAGTAATGCTGTCATTTCCCCTGTAATCATGGGTAACTGGGGAGCTGAGTTGATTGAGATATATGTTCTTTCCTTGCTGCAGGATAGGTTTTTTGTAGGACAAAGAGAACCAGTCATCTCCTGAAGCAGAGATGGTGACTTCTGTTACCTGAGTCTTAAGGAAACATTTACCCCCTCAGGTTTTCTTCCAATTTTTTTTTTTAATTTTATTGGGGAATTGGGGGAAGGAAACATTGAGGAATCGGGGAAGGGGAACAGACAAGTTGCTGTCCTTTTGTTCTTCAGTCTAGTTGTGGAGGACGTCGCTTCACTGGCCCATGTTCGTATTATCATTGTGCTCTTCCTGGGTGAGGCAGTCGCTCACCAGCCATTGGATGGCTGCTCACAGTGGCTCGCGGCAGCTCGCAAAATTTCACGCCAGCTGCTTGCCAGCCCCACTGCAGCCTATACCATCACCGGCGACTCACAGCAGCCCCGCTCCAGGCCGAGCTGTTGTTCACCATCTTAGCTGTAGAGGGCGATGTCACTGGCCCTCATGTGGGATCCAAACCGGGGCCCTACTGCTCAGAGCTGTCTTTCCAAGCCAACTCTTAATCAATGTGCCACTCTGCCGGGCCCTTCTTCCAATTTTTCATCTCGGTGTCTGTAAACTAGTGTCTTTAGGGATTGGCCTGATTTCTTCCCCGACATCCCTATTCTGATGCTGAGAAAGCTCATGTCATGACTGTGGTTCTTTCCACTCTCACAGGAGAAGCTCCAGGCAGCCCTGGAGAGGCTGAGAAAGGAACAGAAGAAAGCTGAGGCGTTTAACAGTGACATCAGAGCAGAGGGAGCTTCCTGGAAGGTAGGAGGAGACATTTCTTGAGGGAGTTAGATAGCAGTCTGGGCATGACCTAGGGTGCTGGTCAGAAGGAGTTTCTCTTCTCTTTGTTCCTGACAGTTGGTGTGTCCAAATGTCATTCAATTGGTCCTCTTCTTAGCCTTTCTCTGATGGGGGTGGGGCTGTATTATAAACATGTTCCAAGTGAACATACATATTTGGATGGAAGTATTCTCATAGAGAGACTCTGGTGTGAATGGCTTGTGAGATCTGTGTTATATTCCTATTATGATTTTTAGCCTTTAACTCTTCCAGGGGAAGACAATGGCCAGTGGCTCATGGCTCTGTCCTCAGTGTTTAACGTTAGGCAGAGGGTCGGGGCAGTGGTCAGGTGTTACACAGGGAGGCATGACTGTCCTGGCCAGCTGTGCAAAAGCTGAGCCACACCCAGGTGTCCCATTTTGGCTCAGAGTTGGCCTTGGTAATGAAGACTTGAGACTATTATTTTGGAATGTGATGAAGAGAAAATAATAAGAAAATTGAGCTTCCCCAAGAATGTCTCCCCTGTTTCCATCTCTCTTCCCTGTGACAA